TCAGTATAACATTTAAGGTAAAAGTTAATAATCTAAACAAAATAATTCAACAGATGATTTTATGTTGACTTAAACTGGGAAAAGTGAGGTGATAAGATCTGAACAGTAAACACATTCCGGGCCCAGTTCGGCCCTCAGCACATACAGTTTATTACATTAGCACTTCATTTAAAAAGAAAATCATTTTAAGAGAACACTAAAGCACTAAATTGATTTAGATTTTCTGGCAAAAATACACTATCAAACTGACAAGAAAATAAAGCCATATAATCTGTCATAAATGAAGTGAAAAATAACCTCCGCCTTTTAAGTTAGCGATATGTGGTTCCATTAAGAGCTACACAGCCTTTAGACGCTTTTAACATAAAGATTTTGTGCTTTAATGTGAAGACAGAAATACTGGCGTCTCCAATTACCAACTGATAAATGACAGTTCACCAAGAATGTGTAGACTTGCCTATTTAAGATGATATTATATATGTATAAAACCATACCAGGGTTTAGTCTGAACTGCCAAGAATCCAGCAGAGGACATGGGCACTCAGTAATAGTCCCATCGGGGCTGAAAGGACTACAAGAGGCTCAGTTCACCTCCACTGACAGAGTTTCCATGGTCACATCTTAATTCAGTCTGGAGGGATGAACAGACATGGAACTGAGGTCAGTGTTGTGATGTAAAACACAGGCTGAGTCGAACTGAGCAGTGACGCGATTGTACAACATGACTACATAGAAAAGGTCAGGGCTACAGATGAATGTCTGTAAGGAGCTGAGTCATGTAGTTGTTAAACTGACTGCAGGGTTTGCTGAAGAGAAGGAGCGCACACACACATACACATTTGTTTTTATTCATTGTTGAGAATGTGGACTTTATATCGACTTAAGTTCATTTCCAGGAGACTTACCCTAAACATAACCATAACCACAGCTTGCCTAACCTTGAACCAAGAAAGGCAGAGTTCCAACAATGTGTATAAACAGGTTTTGATCCCCAGATTGTATGTGAGTGACACCAGGCATGCACACACAGAGCATCGAGTTAATCCTGAGGTGTGTGTCAGCAGGGACGTTCTATTCTCGGGGGAAATGGACTGTGACAGACATTACTGCAGCACACGCACTCTGAATAAAAAAAGAGTAGCTCCTGCCTCTAGAAACGCACTCAAGGTTACACAACACCTTTAATACATGATGAGAGAAAAGTACAGACACAATAAGAAACTGCATAAATGAAAAGGAATCAGTGAAAACTTAACTTCCCTCATTACATTATTTATCTTCAGGAGATGAAGACTGAGCAGATGGAGTGATGTTGTGTCAGCCCAAAAAGACAGGATGACTTCATTCACTCTCCATGGAACCACTTCCTCAATGGCTCAGCAGACTTTTTTTTGAAACTATCCCTGCTGAAATGATATACAGTAAATGAGAAAGTTTCAGAATGTGCCTGCATCTGTACTTAATTCAACACTAAATCTCATAATTTTGCAGGTAATTTATGAGGAGCTGAGGAGATGCACTTGATGCTGTTTGGAGGCAATTAAGAAACAGGGGAAAAAGACATATACTGCATGAGAGGCGCACTACTTGTGTGTGTTTGTCGTTTGACAGTTGCACTCTGATGGCTCTCAATAAAAGAAAACATTTTGTGACCGATAGTCAGCACTGCTCTATGTGGCTGCAATCGTACCGGTTCTATAGTTAGCCTCACAGATGAACAATTCTTAAACATGTTTTGTTTCTATATTCATTTCAAACAGAGAAGCTAATGAGTTCAGTGATCTTATGAAACAATGTGGATGCATGTGTGTGACACAGAATCAGGGTGTTTTTCAGCATGGAAGCTGCTGCTGGCAAAAGAAAAACAAGCATCATTTGCCAGCTTGACAGCCTCCATCTGGGATGATGAGAGAGTAAGACAGAGAAGAGGTTAAACATCATTCTGTTTTCTTTTATAACATCTATTTATTCTTCCACTCTTATAATCCTATAAGGATAAGGATAATCACCTTTATTGGCCAAGTATGTTACACACAAGGAATTTGTTTCTGGTACAGAACCAATGGCAGCCATCTGCAGCACCAACTCAACCGATGGCTCTAACCATCGGGGGGGTTCAGTGTCTTTCTCAAGGACACTTCGACATATGGACTGCCGGCACCGAGATTCAAACCTTCAACCTTCTGGTTGGGAGACGACTGCTCCACCCGCCGCACTACTGTTGCCTCCTGTTTCCCAGGCCACCTCAACCGGTTTCCCAACCCTGGTCTCACCTTTCTGTGGTGGCTTAGATGATGTATTAGCTGACAGCTAGAGCTATCCAACAGAGACAGTGTGCTAATAGTTAGTGACTTAATGTTCCGAGGAGTCTTTCTAACCACAGGAGAAGTTCCAGCTCAGTGTAATTCTCTGGCTGTCCCCTCATCTCTAGGGGTCAAATACAAAGAGGATGCATGCATCATGACCAGTTAGCATTTACAGCATTTAGATTGCATGGGTGCAACAAATAAACTGCCTAAAGTTGTGATTTTCAAAAGGATAAAGAACATATCCAGACAGGGGGAGTTTACACAGCTTGTTGTATGCTGCTCCCCATACTGTAGATATCACAGGAATCAATGAAGCAGCACAAGCAATCTCTGATCTTTATACTGAGCTAGTCAGGCGGAAAGAAAGCAGAGCTGCAAGGCCCACGTCACTACTGATTAAAACCACCAACTGACCTCTGGGCTTTTACTCCATACATTCAGCTTAACAAGATACCGAGCGCCTACATCTTTAAAAATTACAAACTGTAAGCACTGATGTTAGAGGCTGGGGAATGTGTGGGTTATTGTAAAAATGATCAGACTGAAATGAAGTCACAGAGGGTTGGATACTGAGGTTTTATGGTCTGATATTTCATAATTATGATGCTAAATGAGCTGAACATTTTGTACAGAAAGCAGACAAGACATCATGGATCTATGTTTAACGGCTTCATAGAAACGTGGCGTGTCTAAAGAGGCAACGCAAAAAATGCAAAACCTTAAATTCTATAGCACTGTTTACATACTAAGAGGTTAGTATGTTTATGTTATGTTATGTTTAGTTAATGTTTTTTGACGTTTAATGAGCTGGAGGTTAGTATGTTTATGTTATGTTATGCTTAGTTAATGTTTTTTGACGTTTAATGTGCTGAAGATAAGAGATAATGTTCTAGTTCAGCACCACATAAAGGCAGCACTCTATAAGCATGGTGCTAACAAAAGAAAGTTTCCACTGTGGTTTATGAATGAATGATATTAAAAGCATAAGTAGATCATTAATGCAAATGGCGATGAATTAGGTTACATGTTAGAGTACTTTATAAGAGAATATCAGGTCTGAGATCAGAAATGTGTATGTTTGTGTGAGATTTCTACTTTATATTAAAGGGATGGACTCTATGGTGGGTCTATAACCTCACGAGGCTCACAATGACTGTGGAGCTAGGTGCTTTTGGGAACTTTTCTGGCAGAACAATCTACAGAATAATCATAACTTTTACTCATAAACATCAGTATAGATTATTTAGCAGTAAGTAATTTTCCACGAATTGTTCAAAACACAGGGATCTTGGAAGATGCATTAGTCTCATCTACTGTACACAAACAAACTCGTTTTGTGTTCCACCCATCCAACCAACTAAAAATAGTCACAGAAAAACCCATAAACATAATGCATTATGCAAGCTACTCCACACAGACCTAGAGGCATTTGGCACAGACACATAATTACATCCATCAAAGGCCAAATGTATTGTCTGCAACAACTAAACAAGAAATGTGTGTCCCACTTTCCTTCGGGGCAGCAGTAAAATAATTCCATTAGTGCTTTTGGACTGAATTTATAGTTCAATTTAACATGTTACAATTTTCAAGTGAACAGAGATTTCCTGAAATTGTGTGACTGATATTTTATTCTTCTCTTCATCAGTGTGGAGCTACTAATGAGTCAAATCTCAAAAAGTCAGAAACTTTATAGTGCCCATAGACAGATTACGATGTTTGGTTGAGATTCAGAAATATCTTACAGTAGCTAGCTTGTTACAAAGTTTCACAGCTGCTGCTATTGTACTGGGTGTGTGTGTATGTGTGAACAATGAATCTCTATCTTCTATATGCTTTATATAACAGGGATAGCGTAGGCTCTTCCATCCTTCTTTAAACCACATCTCATTAAACTGTCTGCATTAATTTAGTCTTTGATTTTGCATAAGAGAAAAGCAAGATGAATGACTTCATTTTAGTTTAACTATAAAACTTTATGCACAAATACTAGATCCACAAGTTCCTGCATTGTTTTGTTAGAAAATACATTTGCTCATTGGGCAGTGTTCATAAAGCTTTTCTGCCAAACTGCAGTGATGAAGAAGCAGCAGCCAGACTGTATAGGAAACGGTCCAAAACACAAAAAGTGGCACATGATGAATTAGAATGACAACCTTGATCTGTGCAAATGCAATCAGTTCTGAGATAAAACATAGCTACTGTACCTGGAGATGTAATTGAACAGACTGTTTCTTTTATGGACTACCAAATAACTTTTTATAATTTAAAATATAATATCATTGCATCTTAATACTTTGCATATCTCCAAGAATGCAGCAGTTTCTACACTTAGTGGAGATCCTCTTTGACCAGAGTGCCTGAGCATTTAGTGAAATCTTATTTAGTGTAAAGATATACACACACACACACACACACACACACACACAGAGTCTGTCTAGATACCAGTTAGAGTAGAGAGGGAAGGAGAGGCAGCTGCTGAGTCCCAGGAAAGATGGGGATCAGAGAGAAAAGCCTTCTTCTTGTTCCCTCATTTTCTTGGATGGATTTCCCACCAGTGCAACCCATCACATACAGCACAGCTCACTGACTGAGGCTGCTACTTGTTATGTACCTGGATTCACCTGTTGTTCACATAACAACATGACTGTGTGGTGATGTGACAGAATGCTAGAGGATGATCTGGGTTTTAGAACTCAAAAGGCTTTTTAATGGACATGAATCACGTGATGTGAAGTTTTATTAATATCATTTACATGAAGAACAACAAAGTCTTGCACGTGATTTAGTGTGATGTGTTACAAGACAATGGAATTTCTTTCAATATATTTACAGTAAATGGGCTGTGATTGATGAGTCATCCATCTTGAGATCGACTCAGAAACACATCTCTGTCAGATCTAGAGTATACACTTATACAGTGCATGGGGTCTGAAGGTGAACAGGAATTGAATACCGTTTACTACATCATGAATCACTGACTATAATGTGAATGGAGGTCATCAAACTACATTCAAAACGTGAAGTCTTACAAAGAGAAACAGAAAAAGACAAACAGTGACATTAACACTAGAGGCAGGACGAGAGAGGGATGTGCAAAACAATATGCAATTTGCTCATTTCAAAAACAACTGTAGTGTGGGTAACAATTAGGTTTTAATTAAGGATAAGGTAGGTCATTTTCTATATGAATAGTATTTTCAACAAACCTCATACACAGACTAAAACCAACAATGAGTCTCTCCAGGTTGAAGACTGTTGGTGCAAGCTCTCTGCTTTGTTTACACTTCGCTAGCACATCAAACTTTATATCTGTCAGATTGTCCATCATGTTGCAGCAGGAACAAGAAACAGATCTGTGTTAAGTGATAGACTGAAAGAGGCATTTAGGTCTAATACAACCACAGTGTCTAATTGAGTTATTTTTCATCTCTTATTTCTGTTTTCAAGACAATAGTATTATTTTATTAATTTCCATCTAACAGTCATGAAAGGTTGTCCTACTCCTACACAAACCCCATATGTACTATTATCAAAATACAACATGTTGCAATGTGCTTGATACACAGTTTTTAAAAAATACCCAGTTCTGTGGCTGGGCCTTTCAGGTCAGACAGCATTTTCATCAGCCTTAATTCACTGGCTCACATGGGAAAGTGTGTGTATAAAGTGAACCAAAGAGGTCAGAGGTAAACACAGCCAAAAAAGAGTCTTTCCAGAGCTGCTTCTCTCACAGTCCAGCCTCACAGTCCTTTAGAAAAGTCAATCAGAAGGTTAGGAAATGAGCTAATGGGAACTTATAATCAAATGTACTTCAATCGGTCTTAAATCCAAAGCTAAAGCTCTGTCATCTTGCTTTATTTCCTTTTTCTCCCTCTTTCAGCTGTATACCTACAAAAGACATCAGTAATTAAGACTGAATCATGAACATTTTGTTTCCAGCATCAGTAGTAGCTGTAATCTCTCTCTCTCTCTATGAGAAAACAAGGAGGAGGAAAAGGGAAATCAATAGGCAGTTTAAAGGAGAATTGTGGGATTTCTTGGTCTCAATGTTCAGTTGTATGAAATAACAACAGATCGAAACTATACAGTACCTGCTTCTGTAGTGGGTCTGAATTTAAGGACACTTCAGAGCTTGATGTCATCTTGTTACATCACCTGAGGAAGTGACATTCGTTTAAACTGAGAAAAGCAGTGATACGGGCACTACAGAGATATCTTTGCTAAAATGGCTTTTCTGTTACCCCTTGTAATTAAATATTTAAGGTGAAATATCAAATCCTATAACCTCAAAACATACTGCTGTGAATCCCATAAAAGAACCAGTCATTCTGATTTCTGTTAGCAGGTGGTTTAATGTTCATTTTCTCAATTTTGATTGGTTATCGGTCCACTGTTTATTCAGCGCAGTAGACATTTTGTGATCCAACAGGATCGAACAGGTGTGGAGAAATACAGAATAAATATACAGCTCTGCTCTAACCAAGACAGCTGGACTAAAGTCCAAGAAGCTGTAACAGCTTCATATTGGAGGAAATGCAGGCAAATCAATAACTGCAATAGCTCTGATTCATGATCATGTGGCCAAGGCTTAGACGGGGAGGGTAATAAGACATTATCATTGGTCAGAAATTAAAATGGTGCATCAAAATTCTAGTTAGAGATGCACTAGTCAAGCTTCTTTACCTAGTGTGTCTCTGTGACTTAGGACTGAAAATGCTTTTGAAACTGCTGCTGGATTTCTAGCTGCTCTGTGGTTCACTTGTTTGTAATGCTGTGCATCAGGAACACATTCCAGTGTTTTAACAAGTGCAGCAGAGCATTTTAACAACTTACATACCCAACAGCGCAAGACAGTTACCGTACCAAGACACTGCCTACATATAACAATTCAACATCCAACAGCCAGCTTTAACTTTAACTTAATCAGGTTTGACACTACATGGTCTTACTGTTCCAGTTCATACAGAAAGACTAAGAGTCATGCAAAGAATGTTCAACAAATCTCATTTACTATTCACATTCTTCACATTACTTTTTTTTAAATTTCTGTATCACTGGTCACTGAGGTAGGTAATGTTTGTAGTAATTTTGAGGCCCTCACAACGACTGTCAGCTACTATCTGTGGGTTCACCTGGTGCTATTTAATATTACCTTCATGCTAGATACACATATATTCACAAATAGTAATATCTGAAGGAAGAGTGAAGCATCATGTGGGGAATATTATATTGCGAAGTCCATTTTCTCTTCCATTTCCTCACTACATTATGGCTTTCTCATGGGCCATTGAACTTTTGTAATAACCAACACTGGAGGTCTCAGATCGTCATCGTAGTCAACCATAAGGGCTTGGATGACATCAAAGCATCTCTCTATTTTTTTCCACCCTAGCCTTCACAATACATGTTTTTCTTACTAAGAGGCCACAGCACCTCCAGAAGGCTCATCAATGAATTGTGAGAGGCAGCGTCCATTATTTAGCATTAATCAAATGACAGCATTGAATCTGACTCTGTGACTGGACAAATAAGACAACAAGGTGGTAAACTATAGAAACGTACCATAAAATAATCATTAAAAGTATATTTTGAAGGAATCATAATGGATAAGGTCAGACAAAACAGATGCTCTAGCCTTCTTGCCAGGAATCTAGAGTAATAGAGTTTAGTTCCAATTCTGTCAAGACCTATTACAGTAAATACCATCTGAAACATAACATTCATAACTATATCTGACTGTTCATGTGCATATCAAGATCTGAGGAGCATATTAGAATGTTACCTGTCATGCATTGTAAAAACAAATACACTGATCATATGGCATTACCTCAAAATGAGAAGTGATCAACTGCAATTTTCAGTTTGGCATTTGAATAAAACCTCATGTAAGAAAGAAAAAACATTTTACTGCCATCTTTGGATTATTGTGTATTGTCATCAAATGCTAGTGAGAAACCATACACACAGGCACATACACTTTCCCAGTGAGAAGACCATCAGTGTCTCTTCTCTTTCAAACTGTATCCATCTGCAGTCTTAGTGGAGCAGAAAGTGTTGTTGGTGTGTTTCTGATGGATGTCACAAATGTCATGGTAACAAGCCAGCTGTAAATTGGAGCAGTGTGCAAGTGTTTGTGTGTGTTTTAGTTTATCTAGACATTCATCTATCCAGACAGCTTGTTCAATTTCTTTGAAACAGGAGGACAGATTTGTCTTTTTTTTTTTTTAGCTGTTATCAAAGGTAAAGAGTGAAACAGCATCTTGAGTCAGATTAAGAAGGGGGAAGTGGTAGGAGCGGAGAGCAGGTCTGGAGATCCTCTCACAGAGATTTTAGGGCTTAAAAACATGATACACACATATATGAAAACTCTGATCCAACCAAGTAAACCACAGTGCCATAGAGTGCTCCTGAGTCAATCTTTTTCAGAGCAAAATGCATCAAGATTTGAAGGGTTTTTGCTTAATGATAGTAAATTGCCCTGTTCTTTCTAAATCTAATTAGTGAACTGAACCATGATCAACACTAAACAGAGTTACTTTAATTACTAGAGTGGATACTAGTTTTCTGTGTAGTTTATTTAATTAAAAACAGCTGCTTCAGTGAACTCCACAGCAATTTTAACAAGCAGAAACTAAAATAAATTAGATAACTACAGTAAGACTGCAAAATATGTAAATTAATCGCGGCTTCTTCACTTTAAATTCCTTTGGCCGGATGTTTTAAAGATTAAAACAAAATTTTGTTAATGATTTTTAGGACAAAGGTAATCCAATTCATAAATACCTGCAGCCTTGTAAACTGTGTGAGAACTGACGTTGAGTACAGCATCTCCTCTCAGTACAATGAAAACTGTCAGGCTAAACCAGCCACCTTCCAAGCCAACAACTGATGAGTAGTATTCAGTACAGATTTTATAGTAATAGCACATTTCCACGTCCCCTCTCTTGTGTAACTAATACCCCGTGATACAGATGTAATGACCATAAGCCTCTGGAGAGCTCAAGTGTACCTTCACACTTAAACTGATAATCTGATCAGTAGCATGATAATTCTACAGCCAAATATCCTGAGCACCACCATCTCAACTTTATTTGCTCATTTCATACCTATGTATAATGTCTCCAAGAAAAAAAACTGTTAATCCAATATAATACAGTTCTCTCTCGAGCTCATACTGTATGCACAGACGTGAAAGATATATTCTCCTGAAAATAAAATCAATTTTGATGCTGTTTGTATATAATTTCTTCTTGTCAGATCCCCTGTTAATATGAAACAAAACCAGATAGGTTTCTTGTCAGTAGAGGACTGAAACAATAAGTGGGTGATATGAGAGGATACACATCGTATGGCAGAGTAATACCAGTGCTGTCACTCACTCTTTTCGAGGTGCTCGCCCTGCTGCTCACTGTCAGAAGACAGTGTTTCTCAGTGGTTGTCTACTATATATACAAAAAACAAAGTATTCCTGCAGATTTTAATAGGGTAGGAAGTACATTAAACATGTCTGTTAGGCTTTAAGGATACTTATGTAAACAATAATTACATATAGAGTATAAAGGCCAACATCTTGTTCCTTTTGCAGTGTGTACAGAGTCAGGTGGATCGTTAGAGTCCATTTGTTGTGCCTGTGGGGTGACGTATCTTGTATCAGTAATGTTCTCATTCCTCTGGCTGGGCTCTGCATTAATCTTTTATATTTATCACTTTGACTTCTTGTCTGAAGCCCTTTTGTTTTTGTAGTATAAACACCATGAACTTCACACCCCCATAGTTACACCCTATGTCTTGTGACCCTCTTCCCTCTTCATTCTGCAACTGCTCTCTGCTAGATGCAGCCAACTATTTGTAAGACCTCCAGCAAAATAAAAATGAGATACAACACACTCTGCCACCTGCTGAGTGCAAGGTCTAAACAAACGCCCGTAGCTCTCTCCAAAGTCCAACTCGTTCCAGGTTTTCAGCCTGAGGACTTCTATATAAAATATGACCTGCAATTACCGACTGCAGTCCGATAACACAAAAGCTTCACCTGTCAGCTACAACAAAGCCGGGATTCTGTTGCTAACAAGTCTAACATAGGTATCTGCTGGGTTCTGCTGAAAGGGGGAGGCAGGAAAGCAAACAAGCAAATCCAAATAAAAAAGAATGAACACCAAAGTTATAACACTCAGACAAAAACTATGCAAGTTGCCTTCTATGTCTGTCTTTAGTTTCCTTCTTGCTTTTGTTTTCTTAAAGACTACAACTCACAACCCCCATCTCCCACACAAACATTCATGACCAAGCATAGCAGCTGCTTTTTTCCTTTGTTTACTTGTTTGTATGGAACAGCAGAGAAAATGTCTTTTGGAAGTGTTTGTCATACCATTATCACCTGAAGATACTCACCAGCCTTCTGGAAACGGTTCCCTCCTCTTTTTTTTTAGTACTAAAGAATAACAAACCCAGTGAGATATGAACGGTGCTGAAGACAGTAGAACATCACTTAATTCTTTCACCTTCTCTCATACTTTCTTCTAAAGGAGGTTGTAGGCAGCACTTACCTGAAAGAGAAGAGAAAATCAAACAGAGAAAAGATCTGGTTAGCACATGTGTAAAGCACGTTAAAAAAAAAGTATATACATTAGTTTTGGTTCTTCCCAACTGTAACAGCAAGACAACAACATACAGTCATCTCCAGCACTCTGACATTCAAATGGAAGAAATTGCATCCGACCCTGAAAACTTTCCAACTCATTTTTTAATTCCCATATAAATCACGGTGCAGACATGGCTACATTGAGAGCAGCTCTCAGCATTTTGTGGTAAAAACACTTATTAGTATTAAATAATTGGAGACTTTAAAAGAAACCTGCCCAAAACAATATTTAATCACCTTATAGTTTACAGTCAAGTAGGTGTATAGAATTCTGGCTGACCTTCCTTAAAGGCAGAAGAAAATTTAACTCATTCAAAAGAACGCAAACTTTCCTGAGAAGGAGAATAAACTTTTCATATCACGGATAAGTTCTTATCCGAGCCTCATCTTTATCTTTGAGTCTAGCAGACAGTTGTAATAGAAAAGGACATAGCAGAGCTTCAATAATACACTGACTCTGTGAAAGTGAGAAAATTGTCTGAACACAGTCGACACACAGACTCAGCCATTAGACTGCCATTGGGTGTTGCCATCAGAAGGTATTAGAGCCATATAGAGGCTTTCTCTACTGTGTATGCAGGTTATTACAGCTACTGTATATGGCAGTCAAAAGGAGATAACAGTACCAATGCCCTTCAGTCTAAACTCACTGATGATTAAAAAAAAAAGACTTTCCAATTTGTTTTATTCATTATGGCAATAGCATAATAGATATGAGTTTTGAAATAATGGCTGTAATCTCCACAAACAAGAACATTATTGTATTGTTCTTGCAATAAACTAGAAAGCATTGGTTTGGATGGTGAAACACATATGCATTTGGAAAACAACTGTTTTCTTTTGGTAAAGCACGTTACTGAGAGAGAGAGAGAGAGAGAGAGAGAAAGAGAGAGACTCATTTCAGAGGGTTTGGAGCCTTGAACACCTCCATATGGACAAATTAGTTTGAAACTCATACACACAATGGAGCCAAAATGTTTTCTCCCCCACTATAACTAATGGACAAAGGAAAGCACACATCCTTTTGGCTGACAGCAGGTTTTAATATTGTGATACATACTGTATGATGAATTTATAATAAGGGGCTAACCTATTTCCTCACCATGTTTAAAGAATCTCACACTGCACAATAATAATAATAATAACTTAAATAAAAAAAAAGATGGCTGTCTTTGAACAACAAGGGAACAAGGTCTAAGTCAAAATGTCTCCATCTTTATGCAGGTATAGTGCAAGTCTGTCAAGGAAAAGGGCAGAAAAAACTACTGACTATTATTGCAACCTCTGTCCTCTTCTCTCTTCTTGAATGAGCAATACTGATTTCTGGTTCACAAAAACGTCTTCGTGAGTTCTCAGTGTGTCAAATTGTATCTAATTTCAGCTGTGCACAGCTACCAAGGACGCAGTAATGAGAGGAATTCC